TTCACAAATATTCTACAATATTGAGAAAGAAAATAAGAAACTACAACTATGATTTTATTCGCAAAGATTGTACAGTTGTATTAATGATCATTCATAAAATACATAGATATTGTTCATATAACACATAATTATGCATTATTTTAATGACATCTCTGATGTTAGCACATATCACTTAAGGAACGTATGAAAACCAGGAAGCATTAAAAAACTACTCCTTGAAAAACTATGACTTCTCTATGGTCATATTTATCCACAATTCAAGAGTACACATTCTCTATATCAGCCGTTAAATAATATGGTCTAATGTACAAACAATGTCACCGGTTGGTTCCTGTTCCATTCCTAAAATTATTAAATCCATAGATTTGTATACCCAATTTAACACTTAAACCAACTACTTTGAAGCCAACCACTATTGAGCATATGTTGAATAATATCAGAATGGGTTTTGTATATATTATAGTAATTTCAATGATCGAGATCATGAATCAATTGAAGCTAGACCACCATGGAAAATAAACATAAATCTATAATTAATAAAATAATTACAGTATCATTTAAAATATGGTCGAAAATATTTTAAAACGAAAACAAAACTAATTACATTGATAAAAACAAAGGTAATTTCTTACAATAAAATTGAAATATATAAAGAATTATCTACTCATTCAATATCAATTCATAATCTTAACTATACTAATTTCATTGTAAACAATTTCTCATAATGAATAATCTTTTATTTAAATAAGTCTAATCAACATTTCAATCTATACAAAAACAAGTCAATATACACCATTAAGGTGTAGACTCGACAACGGAATTGTACTGTATTCGTCCTGAAACATGATGTTTCTTACTCTAGTCAAAGTGATCTGGTTAATTTGTACTGATGAGAAAATCAAACCAAGAAACTGGTCTTTAGTACTTAGTGACGCTTTGTGATTTTCTGCCTGAAAGGTATCTCTAAAGAAAACTATTTTCTAACTTTATTGTTATTTCAGAAAAAGATATATAGAAAAATGCTGTAGACTTCATAAACTACCATTAGTTATAATTTGAATACATTCGATTCTGTAAAATTTGGCTTTGCTTTATTTAGAAGAAGTAAATGTAATGATAAGAAAGGTATAAATATGTTTATTTATCTTTATACATATTGTGGCTAATTGAACGATTGAGACTAAGGTTTCAAACAATGAAACTCATTAAAAAATATTTACGAAGTACAATGGTTGGGATCATAAGTCAATTGAAGCTAGACCAACATGAAAAACCAAGAAGCACTAGACGGTCGTCTCGTCCTATTGTGAGACTCCTCAGCAATGCACATCCACGATTCCGCCTTGCACGTTTCGCGTGCAAACGCTTAACCTCTAGACCACTGAGCCAGCGGGTCCGAGATCAATAGGTCCTGGGTTCGAATCTCGCTAGTCGGGATCGTGGATATACACTGCTAAGGAGTTCCACGATGGGATAAAACGACCGTCCAGTGCTTCCAGGTTTTCCATAGTGGTCTAGCTTCAATTGACTCATGATCTCAACTATTGTAATTACTATAATATTCACAAAAACTCCTGATATTTACTAGTTGGTTAGTTTTCATCTTTTATCATCTATATTCACTCATATAACTAACTGAAATAAAAAATAAACATGTTTCAACATGAATTATTATTTTCAAAATTTTAACTAAACCCTAGATAATTATAAGAAATTGTTATGAATTGATATTGAATGAGTAGATAATTCTTTATATATTTCAATTTTATTGTAAGAAATTACCTTTGTTTTTATCAATGTAATTAGTTTTGTTTTCGTTTTAAAATATTTTCGACCATATTTTAAATGATACTGTAATTATTTTATTAATTATAGATTTATGTTTATTTTCCATGGTGGTCTAGCTTCAATTGATTCATGATCTCGACCATTGAAATTACTATAATATATACAAAACCCATTCTGATATTATTCAACATATGCTCAATAGTGGTTGACTTCAAAGTAGTCGGTTTAAGTGTTAAATTGGGTATACAAATCTATGGATTTAATAATTTTAGGAATGGAACAGGAACCAACCGTTGACATTGTTTGTACATTAGACCATATTATTTAACGGCTGATATAGAGAATGTGTACTCTTGAATTGTGGATAAATATGACCATAGAGAAGTCATAGTTTTTCAAGGAGTAGTTTTTTAATGCTTCCTGGTTTTCATACGTTCCTTAAGTGATATGTGCTAACATCAGAGATGTCATTAAAATATTGCATAATTATGTGTTATATGAACAATATCTATGTATTTTATGAATGATCATTAATACAACTGTACAATCTTTGTAAATGGAATCATCTATATTTTTTCCTGTCAATTTGAGAACATACCCAGCCTAAGAAGTTAATTATGTAACAGAATAAAAGTTAACTGAAGAAAAAAGACATCTGAACTATGGTATATACTTCAGTCAATGAATGTATGAATTTCAAGATGTATTTTAAAAATAAAACCTAAGTATGCTATACATCTACATGATTATTAAAGATTTCGTAACCTATTTATCACCATAACCCTGCTGAACGATAACTTTATAAAGGATAAGCTTATAAATCAAAGAATGTGATATTGAATGTCTCATTTTTATGAAAATTTTTTTTTTCCAATAAGGATTGGTGATGTGATAATGTCGTTGGAGTGTACTGAATTAGTGATTGAATGTATACAGGAAATCTTCAAGTCATTAAGTGAACAAATTGTATGTTTTCTTATCATCTAAAAAATTATTGCCAATTCATAACACCGAAATCCGGTTATTTTCATTTTATTTTTAAATCAATTGTCTCAAAATATCACGTATGCACATTAATTAGTATACATAGAATCAGTTTTTTTCATAAGCATTATGTAACCCTTACTTGTATATTATACATATAAACATATTATTTGAATGCCAGACATACAATAACCAACACTGGTTATTCAAAAGTAAATATAATTAACTAAGATGATAGGTCATATAACATGTTTGTCAAACATTTTACAACTAACCACTGGTATTAACCGTTGTGTCAGTAACTAGATCTGATAAATGTAATTTCTTATAAGTAATGAACATAGATATTCAGTAGTAAATAAATTTTTCATCCTCACTAAGATATAAACTAGAACTATATATATATATATATATATATATATATATATATATATCACCACTATTCTTGACTTTAAGTTCACTATAACCTCATATTGGCATGAATTTCATTAATTTTTAAATGATTTATTAACTTAACCTAACTTAGATGAAAATTGTATGATGAATGTGGTCGATTCAAGTTGATCATTTGATTTTTATATTAATTTCTTATTTTTAAGATGATTGAAATAGTTCTTCAATACCATTTATCATTAGTTGAAATTCAGTTTTAAGTATCGTATTTATTGATTGCTTCAAAATAAAAATTAACTTCATTTAATGATTCTTTAAAAATTGTGCAATTGATATTGGCTTATTTAAAGATTGTTTTGACTTAGAAAGTATACGAGACGTTAAGATTTTAGTAAAACTAAGAACTCTTTTGAAAAATAGATATAATTTACTGATTAGTTATAATTGAATAGAATAGCTGAACTAATGAAAACCATGATCTGATGTTTGATGAATATTTATTGAATTTAGAGTTGCTTACGAAACACCTAGTCACTAGGTCACGTGATTTCTTAGTGTTTCATACTGATTTTTCGATGTTGTTGAAGTAATTTTTAAAGAAAAAAAAACTGAAGTCACTCTGATAAACTATGTGAATAGAAATATCAAGTATAATGATACAAGTTTTTGACAATTTATCATTCTATTAGTAAAACAAAGATGAATCATTGTCAACTTTGATATATATATATATATATATATATATATATATATATATATATATATATCAAACATTTTAGAAACTGTTTCACTTCAAGCTCTATGGTCGTTAAATATTTCCGGTTTTATATGAAATATTACTAGTCTAAAAACATTATGAGAATGATTCAAATAGTACATGATACTATTATTAATGTTATTTGGGGAATGTTAGTTACCGTAGCTATTAAAATATAACAAACCACAGATACAAAAAATGCATTGAATAACTATATCTAAATTCAACCCAATTCTTTTTTCAATAGTTGAAATCATGGGTCAATTGAAGCTAGACCACCATAGAAAACCTAGCAGCACCGGACGGTCGTTTCGTCCTATTGTGGGACTCCTCAGCAGCACACATCCACGATCCCGCCCCCCCCCGCGAGATTCGAACCCAGGACCTATCAGTCTCGCGCGTGAGCGCTTATCCATTAGACCACTGAGTTGGCTGTCATCCAATGGTCTTAATTACTAACTTCAACCAATCCACAAAATTTAGTGTGTAAAACTTGAAATTTTTCATCTTACTGATCTCTAAACTCTATTGTAAATTTTATTCAGATCAAAAAAATATTTTACAAAGTTTTATAATTTTATTTAAACATAAATTATATTCATTTTTCAATATTTGAAATTTATTATCCATTAATATGAGATGTTTAGACAAATACATTCGATTTTAATGAATTATGATTGGTTTATTCATTCAAAATATTTAACTGAACTACATCATTATAAACCAGTAATATTTTAGAATTCATGACATTTAGTGAAATTCCTGTCTAATGATTGGTTATATTTATCTTTTGATTAGAATGCATCAATTTATTTGACTTTACAAAATAAGAACACTTTTTACATTTATATAATATAATACGCTTTAGTTATCAGCGTATTAGTTGCTTTGTAGTATTTACCATTTAGTGGCGTAGTTATTCCATGCTTCTAATTGTTGTGTAAATAGATTTAACTAATTTCATAGTTATTCATAATAATTGTTATAAATAACACGTGCTGGGATTTGTAAATTCTTTAAATTAAATTCATTTGGGAACTTAATATTATCAAACATTCAAAAAAAATATTTATCCAAGATGACTCTTAATCGTCCAAAACCAAGTGCTAGTCCATCAGATGATTCAGCTGTTGGTGATATGAATAGTAATGGAACAAGTACAACAAGTAGTAGTAACGGTGAAGCATTATGTCCGGAAACTACTTCAACGACAACAACAGAAAGTTTAACTGAATCATATACAAAATTAGCACTAACCAAACGACAAACATCTCTCGTCATAGAATCTACCGCTGATTCAAATGATCCAGGGTAAGTTTATAGATTGTTAGTACTATTCTATAGAATTTACCAAGAGTAAATTTTTTTCCCGAACTCGAAAAAAGATTGCTGATTTCATGTTTAACTTGTTTTTTAATTTAGGGATTGAAAGATGATTTGTTTCATTCTGATTTGTTAGTATAATGCATGAATCAGGTATTTAGAAAAACCTGAGTAATGTTCAAACTTATTAGCGGTTGTAATATTTATTGATTATATCCAATATGCAACTCTTATGAATGTAAATAAGTCCTTTAAAAAATCCTTACCTATTAAATCCCAAAAATATGGATGATTTGAAAGCTTATTTTACTAGATTCTACGTAATTGTAGCTTTGATATCTGCTTCGTTTAATTATATAATTTATTACAATTACGCAATCTCTATACAAAAGTATATCATTAAATTACTTGAATAGTACATTTTCTATGTAATTATAATAATGGTTCATCCAATAAATACGATATGTTGCTAAAGTATCAGAATATGTTTGTTTTAATTAAATTTCTAGTAATTCTCATTACACTTGAATTAATGAACAATATACAATGGTGAAAAATGTAGGCTACATAATTGATAAGAGACTACAATGATATTGGTTAAAATTGATCTTAACAGCATGGTTGCATCTATTTTATATTTCAATTTAACTTGAAATTAATGCCGTTCCATACTTTTCATTATTCAATATTGCTTATTTCTCTTGAGTTATAGATTTTGTGCTTAGATTTCCAGTTCTGTTAAAAATGTAGTTTCATACTTTGTTAAATCCTACTGTACTTAAGAATGGTAGTGCAAAATTCCACAATAGTTTACGGTTGTTTATAATTTTAAGTTGAAATCATGAATCAATTGAAGCTAGACCACCATGGAAAACCTGGAAGCACTGGGTGGCCATTTTGTACTAGTATGGGACTCCTCAACAGTGCGCATCCCATACTAGGAGTCTCATGCTATGACGAAACGGCCGTCCAGTGCTTCCAGGTTTTCCATGGTGGTCTAGCTTCAATTGATTCATGATTTCAACTATTGAAATTACCAATACTCCACAAAACCCATTCTAGTTATAATTTTAAGGTTAGAAAAATTATATAAGAATGAATTAGAATGTTGATGTCATCTAGAGACAAAATCGATAGCTTATTTATCGAAATATCACTGTTACAATGGGACAGTTCATGGTTTAGATAAAATTCTACAAGCTTGGTAAATGAGAAAGTGAATACTGAAATGCACTTTATATTAATGACTCGTATAGTCATGTTGGTGAGTTGAATTCGTTTGGGATTTAGTTTTGACTGTTCACTTTTATTAGTAATAGAAATTTGGCAATTAACAAAATTACATTGAACAAGTAATATATCCAATATATACAATATATCCAATCTTATAATTTCGTGGGTGATTTTCCTCAACCAGCACATGCTTGATTAACGGAATATATATCATTGTGTGACACTGAAAACATCGTTTTCGATTCCACTACTACGGTTTTCTTGAAAGTTTACAGGGTTATATTAGGACAGTAATGTGACTCATTGTAAAGTTCAGCACACTTTTTCCAAATAAATAATTATACAATCTTATAAATGTGACATATGGCATCATTTTAAAATATTGAATTTAGGCCAATAACCATACTGTAAGAAGTTAAATATTTTTAATCACTTAACTTGAAAGCTGTCATGGTTATTAAACGTTATGATTTTAATGTGAACACTTAAAACAGTTAATAATCCCAATGTCGAAATGAATTATCCTGTACGTATGCTTAACTATTTATGCTTATTTTCATTAATTATGTTTGATGACTAGAAACGAGAAATTTGAAAAATTGTAAGCTGTCAGATTGAGTCCGTTAAAACCACAACCATAGTCTTTTGGCCATTAACAAATTGTTTAGATAATGTTTTCCTATTTAAACCACTTTTTTAAATGATCTGGACGATGTTTTGCCGATAATATGCCTTATTAATACGAGTCATTAGTTTATTTTTTGGAGTATTCGGGATACCAAATCATAATTATGTTGAAATGACAGGTGGATAAGAAGATTTATTTACTTCTTCATAGAGTGAATGGACACTGTAAACATGACGAACGAATTCGATAATAAATATTGATCTATAATTTTAAACCTTGAATAGAGATTATCATTTCGTTCGGTAGATAAACTTTGTAGCTTTAAGGCTCAGATAACAGTGAGTAGTTAAAGTCACATTAGAATTCAGAAGCAAAAAATAACTACTTTGCATTGATCCAGTAAATGGACATGAAAAGATTTGATCCCGATTGGAATAACGTTGAATAAAGTCGATCTAATAATTGAGGTAGAATAATATGAAAATATTAACACTAATAAATTCTCTTCAGATTTTATAATGATATCTCCAAATTATTAGTCTAAACAGTGGCTAGGTTTAAGACAAAGTATAACGTTTATAGGGATGACATGTAAATTTAGGATTGTAAAATAAATGGAAATTTAATGTTTAGATGACTAATATGCGGTGTTAACTTGAATTAACTTATACGTTGAATGAAGTTATGAGATTTATGTTCAGAATAAATATGGATCAGATAGAGTGAGAGAAATAATAATGCAATTGCAAATTCGACCAAATGTTTAGTGGAAGACCATATTGTGTATTAAGTTATATGAGTTATATGAGTGCTAAGTAGATTACCGGTAAGGAGATATATGGAAATTGTAGTATTTCTACAGTTTAAATCATGAGTCTATTTAAACTAGACTACCACCAAAAGCCTGGAAGCACTGGGTGGCCATTTTGTACTAGTATGGGACTCCTCAACAGTGCGAATCCATGGTCCCTCACGCAGAGCTCAAAGCCAGAGCCTTTGGTTTCGTCTGTGAACACTTAACATCTAGACCATCGGAACCGGCATCCAAAGGTGTTAATGCCTAACTGTAATCAATCCATGATCTTTGGTAACCTTTCATCTATTGCCTGAGTTGGAAACCTCTCTCACATCCGACAATGACTGACTGATCATGGCTTCTCACGAAAAATCCGGAAGTTACAACTTGAGGCTAGATTAATAATGAGTTCGTGAGGTTATTGATGATGTTGAAGCAACGATAATCATAATAGTACATACATACGTGAATAAAGACGACAAAGATATTTATATTTGAGTAAAAATGGCTGTAAGTACTTTGATCAAATTAGGTTATTCAGCAGTTAAGAATACTGTTGATTAATTGGCCCTGAAGTTGACCGAAGTCAAAGAAGCTGTTGAAGATTTTTTCCAATCCTAATGTCTATGGGTTCTTTCGTTTGAAACACTTTGGTAAAAAATTGTGACCCGATGAATTACCAGTTCTCACTAAATGGAACAACATAAAGTTGTTTACTTTCTTCACTAGACCTTTGCTTAGCCACTCTGGGAGGTGTTTGTGAGCACGAAAGTGGGAATTCCTAGAACTTCAACCAATATAACTTGCTACCCAAGAGCAGTCGAATTGAAAAATACAAACAAAGTGGTCATTTTAAGTAAATCATCTTTTGGCCTCTGCGTCACCATTGGGCGCGTAGAAAACACTAGTCGTAGTTTCTGGCGTTGAATATTTTTTCGATTGTTATACATAATCTGTAAATTAATATTTCATTGGCTCCATCCCTTCTGAATTGCAGTGGCATGAACAGAGATCTTAGATTCACTGTTTGTATTTTGCCAATCCTAACCTTCGTGACCATGTATTTGTTTATAAACTTTCCGACGTATCCGTTCTCCCTAAATGTGTTCTTCTTGAACTATATACGTAGAAAATGTAGTAAGTATTCGATAACTAAGAGTTTTGATCAGTGTTCTTTTGTACTATAGAGGTAGAGAGCTAAGGAAATGTGTGCACTACCTTATATATAATATGTGTTCATTTTTCTCATAACTTCTTTTCAGCTGCTGAAATTCGTGTTCTTATTAAAAATAATAACATTGAAATATAATATAAAATGAAAGAATAGACCTTTAACTGCATTTACCGATTTGTATGTACGTGCCAAATACATACATTGAAAGAACAAAGTGAAGAGTACATGTTTATATTTTCAAACTCATAAACAATTTAAAATCACAGACAAAAATTGATAACCATCATATAACTGACATTCGTCAGTCTTTAAAAGCGACCAACAAACATAGAAAAACGACTTATTTACGCTTCATTAAAGGAATAGCAATTAAGAAATTCAAATTGAATTAAAATGTTCAAAAACGAACGGTTATCAATTTATCATTGACTAAAACAAGAAAAAATAATGTAGTAGAATAATATGGATTGACTAACTGGGTACTGATCACATAAGAAGTGAAAATTAATAGTTACTATCATAGAAAGAAAGAAATATATTTCAAACCTTTATGAGTGAGATCAGTTAGTCAATTGTTTAAGAGTTACATAACTATAACAGTAATATCTTATATCTAGATTATTCTGCTTCAATGTTCTTAGTTCTGTATTCTAGAATAATTTTATATTCAACCTATAAATATTCACATTGTTTAACATATAAATATCTTTTACAGTTATTTCATATTTATTGACCTCTTCATTGATATTCATTGATGAGAACTTTTTGGATATCCTGATAGAAAGTATATCAGCTGGCTTTACAATGATTAGTACTGTCATGTTTAGGTTGTAAGCATCTGACGAGAAACCGTGAAATGTAATAAATTTGTGTTATTCTATTATATTATATGTTCTTGCTCCAGTCAAATTCTCCACTCATTTGATGGATTCCCAAATAATAATAAAATCCTATTTATGATTATTACTATTATTAATTTTAGTTATTGTTGTGTTATAAATTCTCTGCTAAGTTTTTTCCTTTGCCTGCTTCAAAACTGACATTTGCTTCGTCTGTATTTTTCGTTTGAGTAGTTCTCTAACATTTTGTAAACTCGTTAAACCTATAATCATTACTGAATCTATTTTATCAGCTCTCGGATTCCATATACTTAGTGG